CAAGTTTCCAAAATCGCTGCAAAAGCAGACAGACAGACAGAATGTCGTCAATGACAAATCTAAATGACAATCTAAAGAGAGTAGAAGATTTCTGTAGAAAACTATACAAGCATAAAAAGAGCAACATCCATGGTGATAAACAAATTACAGGTACAAATGAAGTTAACAAAACGGATATATTCCCATAAAACTGCGACAGGTAATAAAACGAGCGAACCAAGGAGCGGCTTCTGAAGAAGATAACATTAAAGTGGAACGGGTGGAAACAGGCTGTGAAGAATTGAAAAAGATACGAGCGTGCTGGTCTTTACGCAATCCAAAGGAATGAAAATTTCACATACAGGACTACCGCATCGAATGTTCCAAACCACAGAAAGAGCAAACACAGAGGATTTGAAGAAATACGGGTGAACAGTTTGTTACTAAATGTGTGCAAGATTTTCTCTAATGTACTGTTTACATTGTCACAAAACATGTGGAGGTGCAGAGTCAAAGGAGCAAGCAAGATTCCTACATGTGACGAATGTCAGCTTCCTTTGGTCGATTTCGAGAAAACTTCTAACTCAGTCGATATACCTTCTGTATTTGATTCTTTGACGAGTCAGGGAATCAAGGAAAGATATATTTACCTGCTTGCCATGATTTACAAGACAGCAAGTTCTTGTGTGAGGCCCCTCACAAAAGCACAAGCAAGCTCGAAATCGAAACTAAATCTCGAGAGCCTAACATAATATAACCTAAATTATTGGCAACCGCCCTAGAAAAAGTTGACAAGATACAAAGTGGAAACGATCAGGTTAAACATAGAAGTGCACCTGCGGACTGCGGATCATGATCCTCTCAAAATCGCAAGAACTCTAAAAAAAGAATTAAAGAGCACAACGACGCCGGCTTGAAAGTGACACTCACTTTGAACCTGAATAAGACTCACGTCATGTTCAACAAATACATGAGTATGCGAGTTGTTAAGTCCACGAAATGCAAAGAAGACGCGCAAAACTACGTCCATCCGGGACATCTCATGCCTGCAATCAACAATCGACTATGTGAAATCAACGGAAGAATAAAAACTGCATGGAACACTTTTAAACTCCGCCGTTGCCGGTCATAAGCACGGTTGAGAAAGGAGGAGGGTTGGAGACGGTGGCAAAGTTTCCGCAAAATTTGGCCACCTGCCACTCATGGCACTGACGCAATCGAAAATTATACAAGCTCGGTCGTCGCCCGGGTTAGCAAGGGCCGCAGGGTGAAAGGGGACTAAGAAAGACAGCCAAAAGTCCGCGATCAGAAGCTGCTCATCGCTCTCTGCCTGCCGGAGGCGTAGCAGCACAACAACGGCTGAAGAAAACCGATGGAACGACGACGAACATACCAGTCCGCAACGCAGTCGCTATCCGTTCTGAAGGGAGGAGGTAGACAGCGCCATGCCATTATAGCGCGTCAGAAAAGGATCCAAGAGAAAACGACACCACCAGCGGGAGTTTAAAGTCGAAAACTTAACATATCCTCAATCAGAGGAAAAGAACAAGAATTAGTTGATGAGGCCATAAAGTACCAACTCGACATTTTTGGACTCTCGTCAACGAAACGCCAAAGCTCTTGACTCCTGAACCTCAATGCTTGGAAGCTATTCAACTCAGACGTCGATATCATGACGGGTGCTGAGGCCGAAGTTGGTGTTCTGATAGAACCCACCCTCGCTGAAAGAATCACCGATTGGAAGTCTGTCAGCGGAAGGGTGGTAATCCTCTGACTAAAGCTACAACAAGCTAAAGCGCTGATCTTCGTACAGGTCAATGCTACTATTTCGAGGGAGAATATGATATCTTCCTTGAGGAAGTGCAGTAGGCTCCGTCCGAAGTGTTGAATACAGAGGCCCTCATACGCATGCGCGATTTTAATGCGCATATTGGAGAAGAAGCTAAAAACTGGAACGGCGTGAATCGAAAAATCTGCCCTAGCGACCTCAACAATAACGGTGTGAAGTTATTGCGGTTGAGAGCAAACAACGGATTGTCCATTATGAACACGTTTTTTGAGCATCGAAGAGTCCATCAGAATACCTGGTACCGCGAAGCTTGTACACAGAAGTAGATGATCGATTTAATAATCGTATCGACTGACTTAAGACGCTCAGTAATGGATGTTCGTGTTAAGAAAA